AGCCAAGACTGGGAGATTCTGGAGAAGCTGCACTTTCTACAGGAGCCACCAGGGAGCCTCCATGTATGGCACATACTGGGAAAACCTTGCCCCTGAGATGAGATTGTGAACCAGGACAAAGGACAGAAACCTGATCCTGAGCCATGGGAAATCTGTCAAATTACTGGTACACATTGTCAGCCACCCAAGTCCAAAGGTGAGAGCCATTCTCTTTGCCAGATGTCTTTTGCCTATTTGTGCCTTTGGTTTGATAAAACATTAAAGCAAAGACCTTTTCTAGACACTGGTTTGCTCATTGTCATCAGCCTGCTTTCCCATAGAACCCAGGGCCAATACTCACAACAGGTTGGGTCCTCCCACGCCAATCACTAAGAAAAGGCTCTATAAGCTTGCATGCAAACCTTATAGATGCTTTTGTTGTTGTTGTTCCAGTTTGTGTTCCTTTCCCTCTGTTGACTATAGCCTGTGTCGAGCTGACATAAAAACTAGCCAGGACAGGGGGCAAGGGAATTAGATGCTGTAGATCTTAATTCATACTTTAGGTCTCGGGTCCTTTCTGTCCCAAGTACTTCCAGGTGCTTGCTGTCCGCCTCCACCTCAGCCTTCACCACAAAGAGAAACGACTTCACAGACTGCTTGCTCACCATGTACCAATCTAAAGTTCTTTGAAAACTCAGAGCCCACAGGGTTGCTTCACAGAGAATTCCTGGGCTGATAATTATAACACCATTCCCTAGGGATCCGATAATGAGCCAGCTATGTGTTCTTCATGAAGGGGGCACCTCTGAGTTGGGCCCTAAATGTTCCCAAAAACCCATACCTGAATGAATGCAGTTAGCGAGGCCTGGGAAGTCACCAAGCTTACCAAAGGCCTCATCATGCCCACTGGTCTCATTTTGTTGAGATTCAGCTCAAACAAAAGAAGCCTTACGTGTTTGCTTTCGCCTGCAGCTCCTAATCAGCCACAGCGATTAAAAGTAACAATTGCTACTGATTTACCGGGATTCTCAATAGAAAAGCAGAACTGACTGGCTTGGAAACCATCCCATCCCAGGCTTCTCTTTTTAACCCTTTCCTCGCCAGCCAGGAGGAGTTGACTGAGCGTTAGTTACTTCCTACAGCATGATATACGAAGCCAACCTGTAGTTTCTGTTGATGTGACAGAATTTGACAATAAAATCCAGCACGTATAAGGAGCGAGTCACATGCGCCAACTGTGTCTGCCTCCTTGGACTCACACATGCAGGATCTTCTTTATTTTAAAGACAGAGAAGGAGGCCCAAAAGTGTTAGGATGTCGGAGGCCTGGGGATGCCAGATTGACAGGGCAATGAAAGCGTGACTGGAGCTAGATGAAAAGGTCACTTTTCTACTCTCCCATAAACGGAACTTCACCCTTCCAAGGTCACCAACTGTGCTGGCTTGCTTTTGTCAGCTTAGCAAGCTACGGTCACCTGGAACAACAGCACCTCAACTGAAAAACAAATGTCTCCATGAGGCAAATCCTCTGTGGGTAAATCTTTAGGGCATTTTCTTGATTAGTGATTGACATGGGATGCCAGAGCTCACTGTGGGTGGTGCCACTCCTAGGCAGGTGGTCCTGGGTTGTAGAAGAAAGCAGCCTTGAGGTGCATGTCTGTAACCAATGTTCTCCCACTGTCTCTGCTTCAGGTCCTGCCTCCAGATTCCTGCCTTGGGTTCTGACGCTGAGTTTCCTAAATAATATACTGTAACACGGCACTGTAAGTCAAAGAATCTGCTTTTTCCCATGCTGCTTTTGGTCTTGGTGTTTATCACAGCAATAGAAAGCAAGCTAAGGCCGTCACAACCCTTATTTTTATTTTAGTACACTGAACCCTACCAACTACCAAAAACCTCCATGCATGTCTAAAACACTAAGTATAGTGGCAGAATGGCCTTATCTGCCAATGGGCTTGCTGCGGATGGCATGCTTGGTGACTTGTTCCATAATCAAAGTGAATCACTTCTTTGACTCTTTTGCCAGCTCTTGGGAACCTTTTCCTCCTACTAAGTTGCCTTGTCCAGGCTTAATATGACAATTTGTGCCTAGTCTTATTGCCCCTTGTTATGCCGTGTATCTGTATGCTATGCAGTATTTGGTTGATATCCCTGGGAGACCTGCTCTTTTCTGGAGGACATGGTGGAAATACGGATCTGGGGAAGGGGAAGGGGAGAGGCTGGGGGAAGTGGAGAGAGAGGAAACTGTGGTCAGGATGTATTGTGTGAGAGAAGAATAGATTTTCAAAAAAATAAAATGAGGAAGTTGAAAAGACAGGTGTGGCCTTGTTGAAGGAGGTGTATCAGTGGGGTGGGGTTTGAGGTATCAAAAGCTCAACCCAGGCCAGTGCCTCTCTCTCTGCTGCCTGTGGATCAGGAAGTAAAGCTCTTAGCTACTGCTGCATGTCTGTCTGCTTCCTGCATGGTGACCGTGGATTAACTCCCATAAAACTGTAAGCCAGCCCCAATTAAATGCTTTCTTTCTAAGCGTTGCCTTGGTCATGGCATCTCTCCACAGTGATTGAACACTGGCAAGGCAGTCCTCCATACCTGACTCTCTCTTCTTGCTCCATTTAAAAGCTGACAATGCTCCTTTCTGACCAAGTGTCTTCCTCGGCTTGGCACACAGACTCTCTTGAGAGGGCCCCTTCTGGGCATCTAGTCATTGCCCTTCCTCTCATGTAAAACTGGATGGGCTCACAATACTGAGCTGCCTCGGGCTCTTCTTTGCCACACACTTCTCTCTCCCCTGACATATGTATTCAGCCAGTCCCACGGAGGAGGACAGAGTGGCGTCGTCAACGTGCCCCTGACATGGACTCACTCCCCGCATGGCTACTGTGTCAGACAGAAATGTTCTTGCTCGAATGTGGTTATCAGGTGCAGATGACAAAGGGTGGAGATGTCCGAAGGGTTGCTAGAATTTGCTTGACTCTGATTTCAGTCTCTCAGAGATCACACTTAAATTGCAAGGTGCTTTTGAAAAGTAGTTTGCATAAACCTAGATCAAACATAGTTAGCACCAGATAATAGGGGGAAATGGAATATAAACATGAATAGAGTAGCTCCTGGCATAAAGTGAATACTCCATTAGAGTCAAATTTTCTTAATTTCTCAAATTTGAGAATTGAGGCAGAGTTTTTTTCATTAGATCCTTTCATTGTTCCTTCTGTTCCTCTGTGTTTGTTTTTTTTTTAAAGCACTAAAACCAGTTAATAATGTTTCTTTGTTCTGAATGAAACATCCCCTGATTTATTAGTTAAATGGCATTCAGAAGCACACTAATAGTTGATACACGAAATCATGGATGGTTTTGCAATCTAAATAACGATACGGCAACCATTTCGAAGAACCATGATGCACCCTTGTGTGCCTGCCCCACCACTTATGCACAAAGTCTTTGTGACAGTTTCTATCTGTGTAAAAATGGCATAACTTACGTGGCCTACAGGGATTAATAAACCGGGAGGGAAATTTTCTAAATAAACAAACCCTGAGGCTGATGTATTTGAGAACTCACATCTGGGGAGTTAAATCCACGCTCAACAGGATCATGGCTGGAATCTAGTCAAATGAGACAAATCCCAAAGGATCACCATGTTCCAGATGCTTCCAGGATATTTTTAGACCTGTGGTCTCTCACTAAAATACGCTCAGATTTGAGAGGAGGGATTTCTATCGGTAACCAGAAGGCTTTGCAGTGTGGGGTTTTTGTTCAAGCCAGAAGTGTGTACTATTCCAAATGTCTATGTATACATATCTATCTATTCTCCTATATCCTTCTCTCTCAAGACTAGTGCCAGGGCCGTGTGAGGTGACACACATCTGTAATTCCAGCACTTGGCAGACCAAAGCAGGAGGATTGCAAATTCAAAACCACCCTTGACTACATAGCAAGACCCTGTCTCAAAACAGAAAGGAGGGAAAGAGAGGGAGGGAGGGAGGGAGGGAGGGAGGGAGGGAGGGAGGGAGGGAGGGAGGGAGGGAGGGAGAGAGAGAGAACACCAGTGTCAGAACTCAACAACTATTTAAGAGCCCTGTCCTTAGCTTGGGCAAAACCTATAATTCACTACTACATCTCACCTGGTCTTGCCCCGCCTCTAGAATCATTCCTTTCTGCCTGCAGTGGCAGTTTGGCATTTATGGATACCTCAGAGGCTCATCAACTCAACCGAGAAGCCCACCCTGAATGGCAGAACTAAGACAAGAGAGGCAAGCACATCTACCTGTGGATCCTCCGAGGTCCTTGGAAGAAGTGTCAGTGGACAGCTGGAAGCAGAAACAGCTAGAACCAACGCTAGAGACAGGGTGGTGTGTTCTCTGCTGTTGACGGAACTACAAGTAGTATCTACCCACTATCACACAGTTACGCTTTTTTTTTTTTTTTGGTTGAATCACTTTATTAACAGTTCTTAGATCTGTTACTATTTTCCATATTTCCTTTGTAACAACAAATATAGGAGAATTCCAAGGGCTGGTTGATACTTCAATATGCTGAGCATCTAGTTGCTCCTGTATTAGCTGTTCTGAAGCCTGCAGCTTCTCTATTGTTAAAAGCCATTGGTTAACCCATACAGGTTTTTCTGTTAAGCATTTTAAAGGTAGGGTTGTTGGTACCTCTAAGAGTTTACCAGTCATTTTTCTGTTTTTGTACAGCCCAAATGGTCAGTGTCTGTTTTTCATAGCTCCATATACATATTTCCCAGAAACATGAGTTGGTTTATGGTCCGAGACTGCAGGAATGTTAATCTGGGTATTCCATTGCTGCAGCCCATAGATTCACTGCTATATTGGCCACATTTGGCCTCAGCCTCCTCTCTGTTCTTCTGGCCCTACGCATTCAACCCATCTCGTGCTTTGTTTTTACCTGAGATTGGGTTCCAATTCCTAGGAACTGAGCATCTGACTCCTGAAGAGGCCAATTAGGATGCCATGGTTCTGGAGTAGTAATCATCACATTTTTGCCTGTGTCTAGTAATCCTTCCAAATATGGAACACTTCATGAATTTGCATGCCATCTTTGCATAGGGGCCATGCTAATCTTCTCTGTATCATTCCAATTTTAGTTCATATGCTGCCAAAGTGAGCACCAGTCATGCTTAACATGTTATCTCTATTCTTATCTCCTAAGCATTACGAGCAAATCAGTCACGACGAGGCTCTCAGGCTAGGGCAGGGCATGCTACTCAATGCTGAGCAGCAGAGAAACACCCAGATTCCCCTGAAGGTGTGTTCAATGGAGTCAGTGCTGCTGGGTCACTTCAGGTGGCATCCTCCAACAAAATAATTGATAGTACCATTCCAAAAAGATGCACATTTTGACATTATATCTCTCACCTACAAATTAAAAATTTGCACATCTTCTCTTTCTCTAAGTCATCAGAGACATTTTTAACAGAGACAGGGGCAACATTTCTAGGAAGCTCAGCTATGCCCACAACCATGAATTCTTCAGGATCATAACCAGAAAGAAAGGTCAGTCACTATTTCTACCAAGTAAATCTGGCTTTGTGTGTGTGTGTGTGCATGCACACACACAAGCATGCACAATTGTAAAATGGATTCAAACATTCAAAGACTTGTCTACAATTACAGGCTAGAAGTTATTTGTTATTGTATTTACATTACAATATCCATAATATTACGGAAATCTACCCAAACACTCCATTATTTATATTTGATAAGAAATTTTAGGAATAATTTTCCCTAGACACTCATTTGCTTGTCAGCTTTCATGGTGGTGTTGTATAATCATATGTGAGTGTCTCTTTTTAATATTCCTAAAGTTTCAGTTTTATTTTTTAAAAAAAATTTTTTTTTTTTTTTGGTTTTTCAAGACAGGGTTTCTCTGTGGCTTTGGAGCCTGTCCTGGAACTAGCTCTGTCGACCAGGCTGGTCTCGAACTCACAGAGATCCGCCTGCCTCTGCCTCCCGAGTGCTGGGATTAAAGGCGTGCGCCACCATCACCCTTTATTTTAAAATTTAAAGCTGCCTCACATTAACTTTGGCTAAGGATGTGCTCTAAGGCCCTGCCCTAACTCCTGTTTCAATAGTTGTCTTCTCCCCTTATTTAAACAATGTTGCATTATTGTATCTACTTTGGTTCATTTAAATGCTATCTACTCTTATTCTTTTCTCCTGTCTAACCTCATACTAGTATTTCAATGTTTTATTTTAAAATGTGCAAAAAAAAAAAAGTAAGCATAAATTCTGGTGAATTTTTGAAGATAAAACCCACTATAACACCAGGACCAGTTCTGAGCAAATCGCCACCCACAAAGCTCTCTTCTTCCCTCTCCATCACTCCCACACCCACGGTGGCCATCGTCCCTCTCCAGTACTCCCACACCCACAGCAGCCATTGTCCCTCCCCATCACTCCACACCCACGGCGGCCATCATGACTCCTAACAAGCCTGGTTAGCTTTGCCTGCCATCTTCTTTATACAAATGGAATCGTATTGCAGCAACGATGTTTTGAAAATATCTGTTTGCTATATTCATTTGTTTGGCTCATTTTACTGATATCCAGCACTCTGAGGCCTGTTATCTCATCAGTCACAGGTTGCTTAGCAACCTGTCTGGGAAGTCATTCTCTGACTTCCTCCACCAGATCTCAGCTTCAGGCAGCTGAGAGGTCGTCCTCACTCCTAAATGCTCCTCTGCCAACAGCATCTTCTCTTTTTCTGAACTTTTAAAACACTGGAACAAAATAAATGAATGTATCTTATTCACCTAAGTGTTCATCAGGAACACTTACAATAGTACCAAGTTGTTTTTCAAATATTTTCTCTGCTTCTAGACAATAAATAGCCCATGTCTCTTAGATTCTGTCTTTTTAGATTTCTTAGATTCTACTTTCACTGCAATGAGTTAATGTCAATATAACTATATTATAACTATAATGGTTAATGTCAATAAAACTATGTTGTAGCTATATGTAACCATAATGGTTAACTAAAATGGTTAATGTCAAGTTGGTTTTCATCCACACTGTACTTAGAATCACCTGGGAGACTGGTCCGGCACACTTCCAGAGTGTTTGTGAAGGCATTTCCAGAGAATATTAACCGCCATGGGAAGTCTCACCCTGAGTGTGGACAGTGCTTTCCCAGGGACCGGAAGCGGGAGCAGAGCAAGACATAGTCTAATGTTCCTGGTTTTTTTTTTCTTTAGCCTTGACTGATAACCCTAGATTATGGCTCTAAGAAATGAGATCAAAACAGGCATTGAATCTCTATCTCTATGTGCCTGGAAATGCTCTCTTATCATCTTGAAATTGATAAGAATATTTTTCCGTTCTCGAGAGGGATCGATATAATCTCACATGAGAATAAAGAGTTAATCCTTCCACAGTTGCACCCCTCAGCCTTTGTCCTTCGGTTCCTTCTGCTCTGAACACCCACAATACACTGGATAGGATGCCTTTGACCTGATTTGGATCCTCACACTGCCAGTCATCAGCCAAGTTCCTAGGAAATCAAGATGTAACCAGTACCCACCTTGCAGGCTTGTGATGTATCTTAGCGAGGCCATGATATAGAGCACTTACCAAGGAGCCCGGGAAGTATACACTCCAGCTGCTAGCCATTTCCGTTTCCTTCCTGACTGTTTATTCCTCTCTCGCAGCTGAGAGTCACTTCCCTCTGGGCCCTGACCACCCTAGTCTTCTTTGTTCTTTGATTCTCCAGGAGCAGAATTGGCTTTATTCGGTGGCTATTTTCAATACCTACTGCCCTTATTATTCATAATAAGCGTTCACTGCGCACAACTGAAGAAAGAATAGTGGAAGGAAGAAGGGAATTTAAACACTAGGGAGCTCCTGCAATCATCTCCTAGAGCAAGAACCATTGCCTAATAGAAGGTGGACACCTGGGACCAGAAATGCCTGCTTCAGGCATTGTTGTTATAAACAGCGGTGCTCAGAGGGATCTTGTTTTTCTGTGATTGCAAATTAGACTTTAATATTAAAGAAAAATCCATTTTCAATGAGTATTTCAGTCTCCTAAAACTGGACCTGCCGAAGCACCACCACCGTCACGAGAAACCTGAACGTGGTTTAAGACATGAGAGGTGGAAATGTCATCAGTTACCAAGGGCAGAAATCAGTATGGCAGCCTTTTAAGGGCTGAAGTAAATAAATAAGAGTTTATGTCTAATTAGACTTGGATTTAAAAGTATTGTGTGGACAATTAAAGAAGAAGAGGCTGTGGGTTTGGAAGCGAGCAATGGGGTACATGGGAGGAGCTGGAGGGAGGAACATTACAATTTCAAAAAATGAGCAATGGTAAAAAAAAAATAAAGACATTGTACGAGAGAAAATGATGTGGAAAATGGATGCATTTTCATTCAAAGAGCTTTGTCCAAATCCAAGCACTAATTCACACTCCAGAGAATCCACATGACCACATTTGAGGATCCCTGTGGCAATCCTGGTCCACCCCTTTGCCAGATTGTAAATTCTTGGTAATCAGGCTGACGAGGGAGAAATCCAGATAAAACAGAAATGCTGCTTCTGTTATGAGGTGCGGGTGAAATTCACACCTCAGAGCCACCCCACAACACTAGGAAATCATCTCCGACTTCACAACCCACAGCTTTTCTCCCTTTCATTAACATTGGATAGACCATCAGCAAAACAAGCCTTTGAAGAATACAGGAGTCTGGGGCCAAGAACCATGCTGGGCTAAGAATCCGCACAGGAGCAGAAGGAGTGAGAAGAACCCCGCAAGGCAGCCACCCTAGAATTCTCCGCCACCACCTTCCTCGCCGAGTCCGCACAGGAATCAAGGTTAACCCCCTCAATCTTGTCCTGAACTTTCATTGAGAGAGGGTCCCTCTGTGTAGCCCTGGCTGACCAAGAAATCACTCTATAGAGCAGGCTGGCCCTGAACTCACAGAGATCCACCTAGCTCTGTCTCCCGAGGGCTGGGATTAGAAGCGCGTGCCTCCGTGTCTGGTGATAACTAAAGAACTTACTCTTTATCACTGACTCAAGACACTTTTGTTGTTTGGGTTTATATTTTTATTGTAAAAATCTCCAAACATGTAAAGCTAAACTTTATGTAAACCCAAATACACATTGCATACTCAACAGCCAACAGCATCCTACCATCAGTATTTCCTTTGCACTCCCAAAAGTCCCTTTCTTTACTTTTCTTTGCTTTAAATCAAATCCCAGAGCTCAGCCCAGGCACACGTCTGCACCCTCAGCTACATAAGAGGCTGAGACATGAAGATCACTTGAACTGAGGAGTTTGGGGCTATCACGAGCTACAAAGTGAGAGCCTAGCTTAAAACAACAACAAAACTAACAATAAATGTGCTGGGCACACAGGAAGTGGTGCTCAGGGAAACTGGCAGAAGGGGGAGAAGGACTGTGGGAGCCAGAAGTACCAAGGACACCACAAGAAAACCCACAGAATCAACTAACTTGGGCTCATAGGGGCTCATAGAGACCGAATCGCCAACCAGGGAGCCTGCATGGGACTGACCTAGGCCCTCTGTGTGCCTTGGTCTTCTTGTGGGGCTCCTAACAGTGGGAGCAGGGGTTGTCTCTGACTCTGTTGCCTGCTTTTGGGGTCTTTTGTTCCTACTGGGTTGTCTCATCTAGCCTTAAGAAGAGGGATGGTACCTTGTCTTACTGCAACTTGACATGTCATGTTTGGTGATATCTATGGGAGACCTGCCCTTTTCTGAAACCAAATAGTAGATTGGAGGGCAGAGTTGAGAGGAGAGGAGGGAGGGGAAAAACTGTGGCCAGGATATAAAAATAAATAAATATTAAAAAAATTAAATAAATGAGGCTGGAAAGACAGTTCATAGGTGAAGTGCTGACCACACAAGTGTGAGGACCTGGGTTCATATCCCCAGCACCCATATAAAAGGCAAGCATGGTGGTTCATGCATGTAATACCAGCAGTGGAGAGGCAGAGAAAGGAGGATCTCTGGGCCTTGCTGGTCAGCAAGTCTCACCAAACCCAGTTCAATGAGAGACCCTGTCTCAAAAACTTAAGGTGGAGAACAACTCAGGAAGACACCCAAAGTCAACCTCTACACACATGTACACCACACACACACACACACACACA